CAGAATCGATCGTAGCAGCATGGGGGGGGGGTCGTGCTCACACCGACATTTCGCACATCCCCATGCTGTACCCTTTCAGCAGCATTTCAACAGCAATGTGGCCTTTAGAATGAATTGCCGGGCCAGAAAGGCCAGCTGATGCATGAGACATGTTGTCATCCCAGACGGGTCCGATACCAAATCCCTGGTCCCTACCCAACACGGAAGGCTTGACTGGGGATTTCCCAGTACCACTTCATGGTGGTAGTCGAGATCGAGTGCTCTCTAGACGCTTCGATACCTTGCCCAGGGTACAGTCTCCTGATCTATAGAATGGTAGTGTCACTGCAACCTCCCCCTCAATGTTTCCTGGTCTGGCATGTCTTCACCTTCCTTTCTTCCTAGCGTTCTTCACTTTCTGACACTTTCCAAAAAATTTTCCCGATTTTCCCATAAAACTACCGTGGAGAAGCTGTGGGGGGGGGGGCATGAGTAACTGCTTAGTGGTCACCAAACAATTACTCATGCTAACTAGCCAACTATCAGAATTGTAAATGTATAGTGGTAGTTCTTTGGCAACGACGCCTACAGTCCTCATCATTGTGGACCGGTGGGGCGTGTCAGTGCGGCTGCGTTTGGCGCGGTGCCAAAGTCGTTCTGCACCAGTTGTTGAAGCGGGCAAGTGACATTACTGTATTATATCCTTCGTATTACTCGTTTTCTACCACTTTTTGTCGCATACGCGTTTCAACAAAAAGGCTGAGAACGGCTTCAACAGTGTGCACACTCATACTGGCTGACACGCCCCACCGGTCCGCAATGATGAGGACTGTACATGGGGGGGGGAGGAGGAGGGGGAATGTGGAACGAAACGAAATGGGACATGGGAATAATCTGAAGAAGTTCCTCCGGCTAAGACCATTTTTTGGAGCAGTTCGCTCGATGGGGGAGGGGGGACATTTCCCTTTGTCGCCCGTTGACGCATTAATTGCTTTACAAGAGTTGAAAGGTACTGAGTGACAGGTAGTTTCCCCAAACCTGGGCTGGTATCACTTCGTGGCTTACCCTGATTTCACGGGTCTCCACTTGGCGGCTCGTCACGTCGTAGGGAAGTAGAGAAAGTGCAAAACATCCCCACCCCAAGCTAAGCCGCGTTAATTTTCCCTAGTGGGTAAGATACCTCTCTTCCCCAACGATGCCCTGATCTCGCCAAGTCCCTTAGAACCTTCAGCAGCGTGTGTTCGCGTGCAATTAAATTCGAAAATGCTACGCGATAGAGTTCTCATCGGCGTTTTCGATGGAGGCGACACAGTAACCTCATTAAACCCGGGGGAGGGCGTTCAGGTGTTCATACGAGGGGTTGCGAGAGAACGTGCAAAAACAAATTCGTCGCATCGCGGCGATGACAATGACAATGCCGAGAAGCTTCGACGCCAAAGGTCTTGTTGTCGGCAGCGCGCATGACTGATATGCCCTTAGAAGAATGAACGAATAATAAACAAAAAGTGCAAACGCCGTCTGGATAGCATGGAGGGTGGAGAAAGCGCGCTACGTTCACACCAGCGTGGGAACATGCAACAGCAGGAATCGATCAACGCAGGAAACTCTGCAGATGAACGCTTGCACATACCAGGCACGTCATGCCGTTAGGGAAAATTTTTGCAAAATCGCCCTTCAAAGTTCCCTTCACCGGTTCCCCTCCCCCCCCTTTGCCATCTTAAATTTCCCAAACATCCTCTTGCCGGTTTTCGGGAGTTTTTCCTTCGCCCTCTAAAACACTTTCGAGCGGAGGAGATGAGGAGAGAATCAATGGCACTCGTGAGAGAGGAAAAAGAGAGAAAACTCAACAACCGAACATTATTCACAAATGTAATACGACCCCCTTCCCCTTCCAGCGACCGAATAAGAACCCCTCGCTGGGTATTTCTAGCCAACAGCTGTCCTTACCTTGATATGAATGCCGTTGAATTTTGACAAAGGGATGATCGAGAGGAGATTGTCAAAATTCTCACGTCGAGCGAACACTGAGCCATTTATTCGGACCTTTAATGAAAAAATCAATAAAACCGATGAATAATCGATAAATTCGCTCTGATCTGGAGGACATAAAAAATATACGAAATTAAAACGATTATGAGTAAGAACTGGTTCTTAGCAAGGAGCACCTTGACATGTTGGAATTCTCGATACGACCCCTCCTCCTCCTACCATACGATGACTGGTCAAGAGGAGCATGATGAGAGGAGAGGGGGTCATATTGAGAGGGGTGGAAGAGAGCTTCTCCGACCAACTGTGGGGAATATTTGACTAAAATGCAATGTTACCGACTAGGGGTCTCCATCACGGCGCGTTCTGCCGTTGTTGAAAATCTTAACAAAATAAGACCCCCCTCAAAACTTCCTCCCCTCCCTGGTACGACCACCCCCCTTCCCAAACACTACATTTTTCCAACTTCAGATACATATTCTCAACCTTCCCCGACTGTTTTTCTCAATTATCCCAGCTTCCCACCACCTTTCGGAGTTTTTTCCCGGAAACTTCCTTCACTTTATTCCCAAAAACCGCTGGTACGCTGGAATGCGGAGGGGGAGGAGGAGAGGGGGTGGCTATAACGCATCCGAAACAGGAAAAAGCGAGAAAAGCCAGCAACCGAAAACCTTTACCTCAAAGAAAGGGAATACGACCCTTCTTCCTTCCAGTGCCCTTAACGATCCCCTCCTCTACCCCTCGCTGGATTCCCATCGACGATATGGCCTGGTCACCAGGCCGTCTAGATGGAATCTCAGTCCCTCGCCCATGCTAGCAACTTCGCAACTACTTGTTGACGGAACTTTCCAGATTACTGTAGCGTTGTGCGGGTAAAAAAAGGTACAAAAACCTATAATAACCTTCAACGAGCACTTATCGCCATGGTGACGTAGCTGGGTGTATTTCAGTATGAAAAAAGCAAATATCACGTGCCGATCCCCCCCCACTCACCTGTTCATCTTCGAAAAACCAATGTTTGTCAACATTACTACGTAGTAAGTCCGGTTGTATACAGCATCTCAGCTCGCCGCCTCCCGTATCTTTGCGTCCCCATCGTTTTCCGTCACTTCGCGATGATCCCGAACGTTTGCGAAACTCGTCCGAATCTGAACGAACGATATGAATGAGCTGGTTCGGCTAGATGGGCTATCTCGGCTATTTTGGGAACTTTTACCTCCTTCCTGTTTCTCTTACCCCTATAGCCTAGAAAAGTTTTACACCGTTAAGGCCATTTTTGGCGCCTTCAGAGGATCAGAGAAGCTGCTGCCCCTGCAGATTTTGCAAGGGGTCCCGCGATAGCAGCGCTGCATTTCCTCTCCATTTTATCGCGGCGTTTTTCAGCTCCCCCCGTTTTTTGTTGTTTTGAGCGCGTGGCGTGGCGTGGGGTAAGGGAGGACAGCGTTGGAAACGAATAACAAGCCGATTTGCAGAGACCCGCTGCAGCAGTCACCGTCGCCCCTCGTCGTCTTCCCCCACTACTCACCCCGCCGCGCCGTTCCCCCTGTTCCGCCGTTCCCCTAGTGCATCCAACATCGCAAGCAAGCGCCTAGGAGCGAAATAACAACGTCGTTTCTTCTATTCTTCAAGCACATACTGTAAACATGTTGATCGCAACCACAGCGACGAACAGGAGGGGGAAGGAGGCGGAGCACACAGTGAGAATGGGATGGACTTGGCAACACTCCAGAAAGCACTCTGAAGCGATAAGAATCGTGACGCTGTTTGGCCGACGCGGCGGAGGGACATTTTGCACATTTGCGAGATTCTTTTGCTAGTTCACGGAGTCGTGATGCTGCCCGTCTCAGACCGGGGCGAGGGATGGGAGAGGAGGGGCATTTCGCTTTTCGCATTTCGCTTTCGCGTTCACTGGATCCTTCTGCTAGTTCGTGTTAGCTCACGCGTCTCACTTCGACCGCTGAATACCATATCGTGCCCCCACCAAGCCAACTGTGCTCATTTAAGAGCGGAAAACTCCATAAAGAAAAGCACTGATGTGTAGTAAACAAACAGCTCAACTTATGAGTAGTGGAAAAGAAGGTGAAGTTTTAAGCTCTCCATCAGAAAAAAAATGTCACTTCTCCAAAATAGAATTTAGGAAATAGGTTAAGTATATAGGAAGTTCGGTGCAGTAATTCGTGGCCAAGTACGGTCATCCCAATTCTGCACAGGGGGCTTCTGAATCTAAGCTCTTTTGCAGCTCCTCTGAAGCTTAAGAGCTTCAAATCCCCTCCATTCCCTTGACATTTTATGCAGGACGTCATTCAGAGCTGCGCATGCGAAAAAGCGATTGTGAGCTAAGGTATAGGGATTTCTGCTCAATCCTGAATTCTATTTTGGACATAAGAAGGGGGAAGGGGAAGAAAGGAGCTTTGAGGCGGATGGACCACGCAAAATGCAAAAAAAACTGGCTCTAGCCCCAGTTTTGAGAGAGTTCAATCTCTATTGAGAAACTTGTCTGGCGCATTTTTCAGTATTTCATAGCTCTTGAAATTCTGTAGCCGACTATAATTTGTTGGAATCTCTCAGCAGTCTTGTTCGCTGCGCCTTGCTGGGGCTTTCATGAGAGCTCGGTTTGACCCGGCGTCAGCCCAGTTTCTCACCAATTGCGGTCGCCTACCAACTCCCACAATTACAGCAGAACGAGCTGGCGCCACACCGAACCCGTTTTCCTGACACGCCCCATTATCCGCAGTGAGTAAAATAGTATCTGTCACCGCATACGGTTGCGATAGTGCTTACAACAAAATAAAATATTTGTCGTGGTTTAGAATATGTTCGGCACTTATTTGTGCCCCCCCCCCCCCCCCACCTATATTGGACCAGCACCGAAATACGTAATTCTTACCGGGCATCGATCTGGAGCCTCTTGGACTCGAGCAATTCCCAGGCTGACCCATCTATACCGCTTCGCAAGTTATCCGCTCAGCAAGGTGTTTTTACACTCATTAACGCTTTTGCAATTGTAGTCATTCGCAGGAAACCCTTCTGTAATAATCGGGCTCAAAACTTGTCATGTAAGGCGAGCTCTGTCACTTGCCGCTCCCGTCAGGAGGACGAGTTTTCGGAATGATGAAGTTCGACTTGATTCACCTATATGAACACTGCAAGACGAAGAACTTTTTTGATAGAAATGAGCTGCTATTGCTGAACGCCCGAATATACGCCCGAACGGTTACCAGTGCACAAAAAAGTTTCTGGTACGGTAAGTCCGCTTGGACTTTAACGCCGTAAACCGTAGCCAGTCTTAGTCACATAGGCTGCGCTCACAAACTGCCCCTCCTGAATAGCCTTTTCTTATGAGCGTTGCTTTTCAGTGTTGGTTATGACAAAACAGCATATATACCATTTTCACTTTAAATTCACCCTTTTTTCAAAACCAAATTCCAACTCTTTTCAAAACCAAAATTACTTCACCTTCCTATCGAATTCAGCAGCTACGAATCGAATTCACCCACTACCGGAATCGAATTACTCAGCCTTATTAGGCTGCGACAACTCATCACCAAATACGCGCCATACACTACCGCGAGCCCCGCCCCGTTCGGCCCGCGGCCACTTGCTTTCGCGACTTTTCGATTTTTATTTTTTCAAAATTTTTGCATTTTAGGGCTGCTGCGTGAAGCCCGCCCACTGTGAGAGGCTCCGCCCACTTTGAAGAAGCCCCGCCCACTTTTCAAAAATGGTGCAGACCCGGCAAGTTGGAGACGCCGACAAAGTTACGCGAATGGTAAAGAATACCACTAGCATGCAAGCCAAGGCTCTATACTGCCGATCTGCACCATTTTTGAAAAGTGGGCGGGCTTCTCAAAGTGGGCGGAGCCTCTCACAGTGGGCGGGGCTTCACGCAGCAGCCCTAAAATGCAAAAATTTTGAAAAATATCGAAAGTCCGCGAAAAGCAAGTGGGCGTGGTCAGCCTAGATTGCCAAACCCTTTAGAAAAAAATGGGCGGAGTCCCGCATTGTGTAATGCCCGGTGTTTCCCTAGTCAAAGTGTTTGTGGAGCAAAAGCAGAAGGTTGAAAAATAGATTTAGAATCTATGTCCACGCTGACAAGTGGGCGTGACCGTTGGGGCGGGGGCTTGCAGTGATGTCTGGCGTGATATGGTTAATGAGTTGCCCGCCCTGATAAGTGTGGTTAATTTGATGTGAAGAGAGTGAGTGAATCTGGTTTGAAAAGGGGTGAACTTGGTTTGAAAAAGGGTGAATTTGGTTTGAAATAGGGTGAATTTAAAGTGAAAATGGTATATATTGGTCCTCATAACGGAGCTTACTAAGCAGGGGTGGTTCTTTCCCCACCTTATTTCCCGATCGTAGATTACCTGTCACCCTGGCGGATCCCCAGCTTCAAGTCATCATGCCCAATGAGTTCCATTCCTCTGTATTCAGTGACATCTTCTCACCTAGCAATCGTCTCAACAAAATCGACAAGAAGGCGAACACATGGCGCACCCAAAAGGAATTGATGATTGCGCCAACTTTCCATTTTCCGACTGCTTGATGTAGCACAGCTGGTTGAAATATGGTGGCATAAATCAAAATGTTTTCGTTTCAGTCAATGAAAAATAAGGTCTGAAGTCCCCCGAGAAGATACCAATTTCCCATATATCCGATTTAAAGAGCAGGCTTTATAGCAAAGCAATAAACAACTGGTAAGCAGTGGGACGGCTAGCATCGAGTCAGAGATCTCGCCGCATGTTTTTCCAGTTGCTACGCGAGCGAAAATACAAGTCTCTCTCTCCACCCAACTAACTACTGCATTGCACATGCGGCTAACCGAAAACAAGCCCATAAGGACGGCTATTTCACCTCCACTCCACTCCATTACAGCTCACATGGAAGAAAGTGCAGCTTGTAATCGGGAGAGCAGGCTAACATTGTGAGGAGGAGGGATGTCGCACGCAAGGTCTTCCTCGAGAGAGGAGGGCGGTGTTGTGAAACCATTGTGATGTGTGAAATGGTGGTGCCAGCATGACCGCCCTCCCCTCTCGAGGGAAGGCCTTGGTGCGACACCCCCTCCTTCCCCCACAGGGCACGCCATCGCGTTGTGATCATTTTCTGAAAATTACGACCCCCAATTCCATACTAAAATACGACCCTCCTTTTTGGGAAGTTGGTACGACCCCCCCACTCCCAAAAATGACCAAGTACGACCCCCCCCCCTTTACAGCGTCCGTGAAGCGAGAAAAATCAACTATATAAGTTTTTCTCTGACCAAATACGACCTCCCCCCTCCCTCGCGGTCAAATACGACCCCCCCCCTTGTGATGATCAACAACGATGCGTACCTAACCCAGCACGTACCACCATTTGCCACATTTTTTCACCCATCATCAAGAGACACGGCGATGGGAAAGATTCACACGGGAATAATTGGGCAAAGAATGGCACGCCTTAAATGAGACTCTCGAATTCGGAAGAGTCATGTGTAAAGTAAAAGAACACGGCCGTAGGTTTTGACAAATTTAAACGACCACCCACCAAGCAATTCATATCCTTTCAATAAAACAAATCGAGGATGAAAGAAAACTCTCGCGAAAATGGTGATCGCATTTTAGAAGTACTACTGAGGGCACCCTTACTTTCTAGAATCAACGACTTACCATCAGCTACAAATTGCGTCATAAGAGCAACAAAATACTAAAAAAACAGAAACATTCAAACTCGTGGTGAAAGGCGCGATTACGGGGAGGAGGAGGGTAGAGGCAATGCGGCGCAACAGTCGCAAGTCGATTCAGAAACAATCCTTCAGAATCTTTGGACACCAGCTAGTGGGTCCGCCAACATTGGCCCTTGGCACAGCCATCTAGAAGGATCGAAGTCACCCTGAGCCTTCAGACGGATCAACTATCTGATGTCCCACCCCGCTGCTGAACAACGTGTGCCCTGATGACTTCCGGCGATAACGACTGTTTGGGTTAAAGGCACATTCCGCGAAAAAATAAGGCTATGACCTCTCAAATGTGTCGGACGATCCGGAAGGCGATTTTTGAGGCTGCGCTACTTTCAAAATGTGAAAAACGGCAAGAACTCCGCTAGAAGCTGGCTAATTAGGCCCATGGACACCCCTTAGGCCCATGCCGACCCTCACCGGCTGCTAGCTACTAGCTAGTAGCCACTATGTTATCTTTCTCTATAAC